CTCCTCCTTCCATCGCAACCATCTGGACTTCTATTCAAGATAGTTGAGTATTTTCACAAATTGAAATTAAGAAAAATGAATAATCTTTAAAGATTATACCAATAACTCCATATTCCCAAACAGTGACGAGCGCCTTATTTCGCCGTGTCGTGACACAGTGTTCTCCTTGTCCCGTCAGTGAGATTTGCAGGTCAGTGTGTTCTCTTGTGTCAGCTGACTTGATTGAGACCTGCTGGTCAGTGTGTCCTCTTGTGTCAGCTGACTTGATTGAGATCTGAAGGTCAGTGTGTCCTCTTGTGTCAGCTGACTTGACTGAGATCTGCTGGTCAGTGTGTCCTCTTGTGTCAGCTGACTTGATTGAGATCTGAAGGTCAGTGTGTCCTCTTGTGTCAGCTGACTTGACTGAGATCTGCTGGTCAGTGTGTCCTCTTGTGTCAGCTGACTTGATTGAGATCTGCTGGTCAGTGTGTCCTCTTGTGTCAGGTGACTTGACTCTGTGGCGGGACTGGAGATCAGGGAGTGGAGAGAAGGGGGGGGGGGAGTTGGGATCTTTTTAGAAAGGTTTTACGGCGCTCACAACTGTATAAGGTCGTATGAGCGCCAAGAGGTGGATGTCAACAGAGAAGTCCAAACGGGGAATCAGGCTTACTCTGCTCACCTCTCTAGCCTCAACAGCACGATGTCTGCTTCGACTATCAAGGCAGCCCTGAAATAGTAGTTGACAAGAATGTGACAAACATACAAAAGAAGTAGAGGAAAAATTACGATAGTAAGGATGGGGAAAGAAAAAGCAGCAGTTCCCCCTATGTTATTCCGGCACAGTATGAGCATGGCATTGACAAATCTGCCCATTTATAATTCTACTGTGTATAACAACATGTTAATATCCCCCCTTTCTGAATGGCCTAAAGACACTTCAGTCAGTAGCACTGCCCTGGTGGGTAGGGAGGGGGGTTGTGAGGATTTAGCAGCTTGTTCCAAAGACTACCTGACAATTCTTCTCCCATTCGAAAAGAAAAGGACGGGCTGAGTGGGGATAAGAGCCAGTTTATTAGATCTTTTAAACTACAATAATCCTCAAGGACCTTGGGAGAAACTGTTTCGCTGACTTGGACAATTCTTTGCTCACTAGCAGCGAGAGAAGGCGTCACCTGCCGAGTGGTGACGTGACATCTTGGCCTGTGTGCGTTTTTTGAGTAAATTTCGACTTGAGCCATTTCGTGTGCTAAAACAAACTCACGTGCGCGCGATAAAGACTGGTGGGTTTTTATGCGTTAATGTCTTGTCTGCTCTTTCTCTTGTTTGGACAAGGGGGGTAACCCAGATGTCGGGGGCTTCCAGAAATCTTGACCTACACCAAAAGTGGACATTGCCCTTTTTATAGGAGAAGTTTGGTTTGATTGGTGAGTATATTTGTTTGATTTTAGAGAAAACTCCCCTTGTCTTTAAAGAAACTGAAGAAGATGCAAAACCTTCACCTTCGATGTTCTCAAAACAGCATTTCGGGACAGCCTCCTTGTGCAAGTGACCATTTATTGACCAAGTTTTTTTCTTCTATTTTTGGGGGGTCCTCAGAAAAATTCGCTCTGCCCAGCCCCCCGAGAGAACGATCATCCACAAAATCAGCAGAGACGAGCTCCCGGCTTTCAAAGATTTTGACAAGATCAAAAAAATGTTCGCCCAGCCTTCCTACCCAAAGCATCACCCAAACACAGTGAAGGTGAGAGCGACTTGACAGCACGTGCGACAGAATAAAGCTCTTCCCTCTCTTTCCTTCGAGGCAATTTAGACTGGGAGAGTCCGATACTAGTGACTACTCTTTCGATTCGTTTCATTTCGTGCTAGTTTTTGCTTGTTTTTCGGAACTATTCCCAATCCAAGTTTTTTAGTAATGACTAAGCCTTTGTTTTCACCAGTTAGAAGTTGCAGGCAAGCTTTTGGGGGTTACAATGGGACATCGTGCACCAGGTTTAGTGTAGAAAAACTCCGGGAAACGAAGGAAAGAAACTCAGGGTTTAGAGAGTTAAGTGGAAACAAATGGCTTTCTCCTCAATTAGCTAAGCACCACATTTGGAGGTCACAAATATCGTATATTGATACACCGACAAATAGACGATGATACACCGACAAATAGAGGATGATACACCGACAAATAGACGATGATACACCGACAAATAGACGATGATACACCGACAAATAGACGATGATACACCGACAAATAGACGATGATACACCTACAAGTAAACGATGATACACCGACAAATAGACGATGATACACCGACAAATAGACGATAATACACCGACAAAATATAGAGGATGATACGCCGACAAATAGAGGATGATACACCGACAAATAGACGATGATACACCGACAAATAGACGATGATACACCGACAAATAGACGATGAGATAAAAAAAGCCCCGTTCACCCCCCTCCCCCCCCCCCCCACCCCCAGGCCGAGTACTCGTGTGCTGTGAGTGCCAAGACTGACGTGCTGGACAAAGTGCTGACGTCAGAGAAGATCAACACCAAGTACTTGGCCTGGCTGGACATTGGCTACTTCCGGTGAGTTGCTGTTGTTGTCACATGTCGAGCACTGACTGGCGTGAAGTATTTTGTTATCCCCCCCCCCCCCCTGTGGTGTAGAAGTTTTTGCCTCAAAGCGTGCACTGGCTAAAACATAAGAAGAAATAATGGCAATAGATGTTCGACTGGGAAAACAATGTCTGAAGCTGACTTTTACAACGTCATCTATCAGATTACCATTCCTTCTTTCCATCTAGTCCCCAGTACATTCTTCCTCTCCTCTCCTTCTTCTTTTTGTGTATGTTACTCTCTTGTAACACCTCTCATCTTCGGCACTTATATGACCTTATTGCGTTGCAAGTGCCGCAAAACTCTTAGTAAATTTGTTTTAGTGAGAGTTTTGCGGCGCTCGCAACTGCATAAGGTCACATGAGCGCGCTCTTACTAAAAGTAAACAAGTTTTTTCGTCTGTCGCTCGTACTGCAGATTATTGACTCACTCCAAGTTCTACCCAGCCTACACGACCTACAAGCTAGAAGTTTACTTTTATACCTCCTCCTTCAGGTTATCTTTCCATCCCTCCATCTCGTCCCTAGGTTACTGACTTACCCAAAGTTCTACCCAGCCAACAAGACCTACAAGCTAGAGGTTCCTGAAGGGTTCAAGGACGAC